TCAAAACCAACTCTATTTTTTTTCCCGTGATATATATGCCTTTGAATCACCGACAGCTACACCACTTGAAATCGAAGTACGGAAAAAAGCATTAATCAAAAGGCATTAAGGGCGGCATCTATTAGAAGTTGATTGATCAAAATTTTTATCCATTAACTACTTGCCCATTCATCTACACACATTCTCAGATACAAACAAATAAACACTTTATTTTTTGTTTTGTTTGACAGCGTATTATGTTGGGTAGTAACTTCTATGTGGTTAGATACGACAGACATAAAAGGCAGACGTGCGCTTACTCTTAGCTTATGCTCTGATTCAGTTTATTGCTTTCGTTCCATATATTTTATCTTCGTAGAAAAGCCAATGATGCAAAAAGAGTGGCTGACAAAACTTTTTATGTTTTCCACATCATTCACTTCAGCATATATTGATTAACTTCTGACAGTGTGCAGGCAAATCTTAATATAATAATAACTGAACAAACAAAATCAGCGTTGTTAGCAGTACAAAAGTTGGGTTTTTGCTTCATATGATTAAAAATTGCATAGTAGAGAATGAGTTTGTGTCTGTTAAACAATCTTTTGGTCCTTATATTTTTTAGATTTGTGCATCAACGATGTACAATAAGTGGCAAATCCCACAAGGTGCATCTGATTCTAACCAAAATCAAAATGGTATGAAGCGCAGATAGCAGAAAAAAGACGTAACAGGATCAAAAGTTCGATTTTTTTCTTTAGTGGATTGGGGCGCTCTTGCCACACAATGGGTTCAACAGCGAGAATTTATGCAGCAATCACCGATGCAAATGGTACCACCAATGATGTCTCACATAATAGGCATTCCACCTCCAAGCAGCATACAGATGCCAATGCATTTCAATGTTCCGCCTCCTCCTATGTCACTTGTATCTCAACAACAAACTACACCGATACATTTTCCACCTGCATATGCTCCCGTTCCACCGCCACCAAACACGCCAAGTCAACAACAACGACCACAAATGCAGGTTGGTCCAAATCCTCTTAACGAAAGTATATCGATGACGAACACTGAAAGTAAGTTATTTTTCTGTAAAAATATAATTAACCAGGCAGAAATTGATTGTCCGTAAGTGTTTTGTTTTTCCTATAAAAATCGATAACGTCCTCCATCAGCTTTCTTTTCTTATCTTGCTATTTTTTATATGGCTTAGGTCAAAATCCGTCGTCTGATCAATGGTCAAAGCAGATGATGTCGAGACACGAATGGAATACAAATTGGAGATCGTCTCAACAACAAAGTTTACCAAATATTAATTCAAACACAGTAGATTATCCAGTACTACCAGTCAGTATACACAGCGAGAGAGCCAATTACTTAAACAACTTTTAGAGAGAAGTGAAAATTAACCTTCAACTGATGTGATGTAATTGGTGTCAAGGAAACTGGAAAGACTTCTAACTTTATGTTGTCTGAATGAAATTTGATAAAATGCACGAAAACGTTGATTTGGTCTCTGTAATATTCTGACTAAAAATTTTGTTATTTCCCGGCTTCTTTTCCACGTTTACGATTAATACTTCTAGGACATGTCTTTTTCGACAACACAACCTAATTATCATGCACCACCACCTCCACCACCACCACCACCACCGTCAGTTCCACAAATTCCAGCAAACATTCAACGAGAGCCTCCTACTCGTTTACAACCTATGAATTCTACTGATTCATCAGTGAAGTTGAATATCAGTAGCACAGCTAATATACCATCTTTAATGGGTCTTCCATCTACGTTCTCAATACCACGTATGTCTTGTTTTTTTATAAGAATTTTCTTTAGTATTAATTATAAAATTTTATTTTAGTTGAACAACAGATGACAAACATGAGTAGTTCTAGTAGAAAACGACGACAAATTCCGGCATGGTTACGTGATGAACTTGGACGTATTGAACGTGAAAAAGTAAAAAAGTTGCAAAATCTTTCAAGCAAATCTAATGACTCAACTGTACGTTCTTTTGTGTGAAAATTATTGATTTGCTTTTGATTTATGTATATGATCGTTTAGAAATTTGATGATGATTCACAAAGTGGAAAAGAAGATGAAGATGAATTTGAAGAGGATACTGATGGTAGTCGATTACAAGAAACGTTTAATGATAATGATAAAAATGAGTACGACGATGATGCTGGTAGTGATCGAAGTTTCAAACGTCAAGTGGATCAAGATGAAGAAAAGTATAAGTCATCAACACCAATTGTTGATAAATCCAGGAGAAGAATATCAAAACTTCGTGGAAAAAGTCGATTTGTAGGCGATGATCTTTGCCTTTTATTTTATACACTACATAAGAAATGTACTTTATACATCGTAGGAACTCGCTGATCAGTCAGATGAAGAAAAGTCAACTAAGTTAGATACTTCAAAAAAATCATATAATTATACAAAAACGAATAATAATCGTTCAATAACTGAAAATTCTCCTCCAAGATTAACGTCACCATCTCGATCATCTGTATCAGAACATCCAGCATCATTGAAAGCTTTGAGAATTATAAAAGAGAAATCTGTTGTGGATATTGACGAGATTGTTGACGATCCAGAGAAACTTGAAGAATTTGTAAGTTATTTTCATTTTTGCAAAGCGCAGTATTTTAACTCGATTTGTTATTGAAGATGGCTAAAATTCGTCGAACGTTAACCGAATTATTGTTGGAAGTTACCAGTGAAGAAATGATTTCAATAGCCATAGAGGTACTAAACTTCAACATCAAAGGTATCTATCAATTAAAAGAACGTTGTCATCAATTGTTTTTATTAACCATGTTTTTAGCGACATTTTTCCGATTGCTCTTGTATATGTTACAGAGAATGTATATGAGATTAGATGGCATCTAATGATTTGATAAATTATGTGGACAACTGATGTTTGAGTTAAAACGAAAAAACAGTAATCTGAATTTAAAACAGAATTTAGTAATCTTATTCTCAATTATGTTCACCAAGACACTTATTGATATGATCAAATATTATTCAACATAGCGAAGTAAAATTTCAACAAAGGACTAACACCATTAATTTTAATAGATTTCTGTATTAAGACAAAAATCAAAAAGCTTTCACTTCGTCTATTCCATAAAGTTCTCATCCGTAAACGATGAATCATTTTCATCGAGTAATGAGGGATTTCTGAGCTACAAATAGAAGGAAATCAATCTTTCAGAACCAAAACCACCTGAGAAACATGTTTCTGAATAGAATATGCCGGAATTCTGCTTTGCGCCATCATATGACTTACACACAACGTTGTTTGAGAATCAGTTGTCGTTCATTTGGTACGGTACTTACTTTTATATATATACGTATATATGTAAAAGTGTTGACCGCAAAAATACAGAAATCTATTAAATGGTGTCAGTCCTTTGTTGAAATTTTCTTTATGTTGAATAATATTTGATCATATCAATAAGAGTCTAGGTGAACATAATTGAGAATAAGATTAGTAAATTCTGTTTTAAAGTCAGATTACTGGTTTTTTCGTTTTAACTCAAACATCAGTTGTCCACATAATTTATCAAATCATTAGATACCATTCAATCATATTTACATTGTCTGTAACATATATGAGAGAGAGAGAGAGAGAGAAAGTACTGCTTCCACCTATTAGTTGTCACGAATGTATGTTTACTTACTTAGCTAATATTGTTTTTTTCGTTTCAATTTTTTCAGCTCAAAACGCCCCGCCGTTAATACGAAAGTCGGAGGCTTTGTCTAGTCTTATTCAAGGTATATTGGAATAATAAAACAAAATTTTTTAATAGAAAGAAAGAATTCTTGTAGGAATGTCGTCCGATGATGAATCGGAAGAAGACGAAAAAATAAATAAAGACCTTAAAGAAGAACAAGACAAAGAAATTGAAAATAATGAGAACAATAAAAGTAACACGAACAAATTACGATTCAATAGTGATAATAAACGGTCAAGATCTAAATCACCTTCTGTTTCCTCTCAAATATTGACAAATCAAAAGGGTATGTTTATTCTATCAATAACAGATGAAAATTTATTTGACAGAAATGTCGTATATCAATGTCTTTCGTTTTAGTTATTGAAAAATTAACAGCTGTATCATCTGAACAAAAATCATCAAAAGTCGATTCACCTAAAAATGATACGTCATCAACTAATAAAAAAGCAAAGAAACGTTCCAAACATCCGTCCACATCATCTTCACGTTCATCATCTCAATCATCCGGTACGTCTTCAACACGACATAAAAAGCGAAAAAAACGTAAATCTACAAAGTATTCAGTATCACCACAAATGAAAAGTAAACATCGTTCACCAAGTCCAAAACGAAAATCACAAGTAGATAAATCGATTAAGAAAAAACATACGGAACGAAAAAGTGATAGAGATCGAGTACATCGAACAACTCGAAATGACAAAGATACGTCTAGACGTACTAATGATTATGAGGATAATAATAATAACAAACGTACATCATCTTCCAGTGGAAGAAAACGGTAAACTATGTTTCATTCGTGCTAAGTGCGCAGTCAACATTAGCTTACTTTTTCTTGTTTTTTTGTGTTCTACAGTTTTTTTATTTTGTACATAGTCATTTTTCCATAATTGATTTGAGTATACTACATGTTCTTGTTTTGGAAAATCTTTGTATTTGTATCCCTTTCTCTGTCTCTCTCTTTTATGGAAAAAGAATGAAACATTTTTTGTGGTGCATATATTTCTATGCTTAATTATCTTTTTTTTAACAAAAATAAACTTACAAAAACAAATGTGTGAAAATTATTGGAAGATTATCTTGTTTATATATATTTCTAAAGGAAGAAGAGTTTTGATCTGTTTGAACTGCTTCTCATGCAGAAAACTGAATAATATCAACAGCATATTCCTTATCGTATCTAACGTTTAGGTGCAGAAAAAGATGTTTCGATAAAAGAGAGATATACAGATGTAGTAAGTTAGTTTTAGTCATTTACCGACCTACGTTAGATAATGATATAATCTGAATACGGAAATAGGTAGATTCAGAAAGAAAATCTAGCATTTTATTTATGATTGATTGTTCTGAATAAACTATATTTTCTATTAAAAAAATTATTTTCTTTCAAATTTGTGACACAATGCTTTTATTTTTTTAGCAATGTACCGTTTTATATTGTCCGTTAGTTTATTGCTATTGTCTATGTTTAAATGGTTCAACACGTCTATACGTACATGGACTAATTGTTTACTCTCTCTTCGTCGACAATATACCGTGACCGTTAATATTAATGTACGAGATATGATGGTAAATATAAATAATTTACATTTTTTGAAAAAAACGGATACCGTTGCGATTGTTATTAATGAATCGATACCAGAACAAATGTTAGTGGATACAGTTACTAATCTTATTTTGTTTTTTGAACATCTAAAAATTCTTTATTTAATTATCTATGATTATGAAGGTATTTTATTAGAAATGATAAAATTAGTTCACTACTCATAATTCTGCTATTTTCTTATTATAGGTCTCGTTAAAATTCATAAAAGGACAATTATATCAAATGTTCATGAACGATTCAAAAACGAGAGTAAGTGTGTGTATCAACAATCTGAAAGAGAAAAAAAAATAGTTCATTGGTGTTGTTGCTATTTTACTTTATTTTAGGTAATACTAAACCACAATTATTGACAAAAATACATTTTTGTTCTTTAACTGATTGCAGTTCTGTATTGACAAATGTCACACGGAAAGTATGTGCACAAGTTAAATCTGGACAATTACAAGTTGCTCAGATAGAGCAAAATATGATTGATCAATATTATAATGGTTCGTTAATTTGATTGGAAATTAGGTTTATCTTGTTATGATATTTTTTTTAATTTTTATTTTAGATATATCGGGAGTGTCTGAAATTAATTTAGCGTTAATCATCGGACCGATTAAAAGTGCTCTGGGACTATATCCATGGCAAACACGATTAACCGAATTTATGTAAGTTAAAGCGTTTGGCAATGAGTCAACACACAGGGCAGAGAGTTAAAAACATTTCAGAAATACATATTTCTATCCTTATGTTTAGAATGATTGACTCTTATAAACATTTACAAACTCCACATTCCTTGGTGAATATAATTCGACAATATAATTCCACTGAACAACGACATGGTCGATAAAAAGTATCATATTTCCAGTAATATTATGGTTTCCTAGTTGGTGTTTTAGGTTAATTTTTGTTTTCTTTTCTATATTTTGTTTTTTTTCTGCTCATGCATTAAATTTTAGGTTATCTTTATTGTTTTTACTCTTTGCATTTATTGATTTTGTTTTTGATGCTTACAATAGGAAATGTTATTTTTCTGTACCTTCCAGATTTTGTGTAACAATAGTACGTCATATCGTACAATTGTTTTGTGAATCATTTTTTCACAGCAATAGCTGATACTCATGTGTTGATTCTTTTTTTCCCGTAAACACATTTGTTAAAGAGGATGATACTTTCTGTTATAAAATAAGAACATTCTGTTACATTGTTACTTACTTCATTATCTTGTTGACGTATATTTTGTTAGATTTGAATTATTAAGAATAAACTTGATAAAATTCATATCCCATTTTGAAATTATCAGGTACAATATCATCTAACGTAAGATTCGAACTTTCTAGAAAAGTAGGAATCAAAGAGAATTGGATGTAAGAAAAAAGAATTTTGATTTTTAGCTCCGACAAATACTCGATATCTAAATGTTAACTGAACCAATGAAATAACGAAAAAGTGAATCAAATATTAAACCAGAAAGTAAACTCAAAAAGATAAATATCGTTTACACTAAAGTAAAAATTCTTTTATGCTCCTTTTCAAAATCTATTTTCATCTTTCTCAATAACTTTCGATGATTTTTATCGTTGGTCTGATATTAGATTTTCAAAAAATACAGGAAAGAGAGAACGAATTCGACAATGGATAAATAATTGTCGAATGTTCGATCTGAAGCTTTTTCTTCGTTTATCAACCAGTCAGAAAAAGAGATGTCATCAAAGCAGCATATGCTGATTCTTATATATGATAGTCGAAAAATTATCTTAAGGACAAAATATTCGACACCACTAAGCTCACGTATTTTTTTAATCTCAGTGGAAACGATTCAAAACCTAAGAATCTTAGTTGCACCACTAGAATCTAATACTAGTCCACTCAGCAGCCCACTATTCTGACAAATTTTATCTCTAAGAATGACAGATTAGTATAGAAACAATGTTTTTTCTGTCTAATCTAGATATATTCTTACCTCATATTAACTTTGCATTCCTTTCATTATTAGTTCAGATAATAAACACATGATGGATATCAATTTATCTCATCGAGAAATAATGCCCATTATACAATTAAAAGATCATCTGAAAACAGTAAAAAAATTATTTTCTAATAATATTCTTTCCGTTTTAGTATCGTGTTGTTACGAAAATGGATGACAAATATATTTTCTTATACAATTGTTTTAAAAGTATGATCACAACAAATATTTTGTACAAATCGAAATAGAGTAATGTTTATAATGATTCAATTATGTATGGATCGTTAAAAAATTTAAAAACATCAAAAAGAAGGCATTAAGATTCGATAAGAACCAGTTCATTGAAAACTATTATTTCAAGTACAAATAGGATATATTGTATTTAAAATCACTAACAATAATACTGCTACAACTACTCCGATTGTGAGAGATTCATGTAAAAGAAAAGATTGTGGCATGTATATCATTGAAATTTCACATCAATCAATGATAAATAGATTAAAACTAAGCAAACATTTTGAAAAACACAAACAAACGACGAGAGTAAGTTGTGTGAAAGATACTACAAACTTCATACGTCCCAGAGAATTTGGAAACATGATAATAAACAGACTTCTTTTATCTCGTCTAACATGTGACGTAGAATCTTTCACATTTTGCCCAATGTATATCCATAGCGTCCGTCAAAAACAAAATATCAGTAATAGTAAGGTCGAGCTAATTACACTGTGAAATATGACTACCTTTACGCGTTAAAACGGATGATTAGCCCGTTTGAAGAAACCAAAAGCTAGAAACGACAGATTGTGTGAGAATAATCGTTAATAGATATTTGAGAGGGCAACAAAAATGGGAACCATAAGGAAAGAAAGTATTTTCACATAAAGAATATGTATTTGATTGGGCCTCTTTAGCTTAATAATTATGTTATATTTAACTAAATAAGAATTTAATCGTTATAGCTGGAAAATATTTTCTGTGGATAATCCCTCATCAAAACGATAGTCTTTACAGCAATAAGGGACAAATGAAGATTAGATTCGTGATCAACATCAGACACTACCTATTATCAAGTATATTTCTAAGAAAAAGTGAAGGATCACCTAGGAAAGTGCTCTTGTAAGTGCTGAGCCTATTTCATTTCTTATATCAGCTAAAAGGCGACAACAGTAACAGTTATCTGTTCCTTCAACGATCCTAGACGTTATATGTTCAAGTAAATTAAACTGCGAAAAAATACTATACCCAATCCATAATCGCCGGGACGAAAATACCTTTACCTATTAAATTTGATAATTTAGGATTTTTTACTTGACTGTCACTGTTAGAATCATAGTGACTCGTAAAATAATTCTTGATAATGCATGATATAGTCGAAATATACGGAAATGAAAAATTTATTAAGTACAGCACATCTGTTTTAATGGAAATCGCCGTTTATATTTTGTATAATGTATTGTAGTAGACTGTTATTGCCTTTTATCTACTCATTTAATATCAATTCACGTAGTGTTATTAATAAATATACTATGTTTTGTTATTCGGCTGTTTGTATATTTTTCTTTTTCATCTTTGCACAATTATCATTAGCATAAACTTAACCGTCTTCCTCGTGAGAAAGAGACGAAATTTTAAATAAAAATTTCCTTTTCCTATGATACTCTTATTGATGTATGTTTTGGACGAAAACTAGCTTTGATTGTGTTATTTTATCTATAGATTTATCATGACTATTCTAACGAGACGTATTCTGTTGAATTTTTTATATGAAATGTTCTTATTTATTATTGCGTGTTTTATATTATCTTTGATTTATTTTTCTGTAAGTAAACTTGTTTGTAAGATGATTTTCTCTCTCTCTCTCTTTCTCTCGTTTCGATAAGTAATATTGTTTTTATTGTACAGATATTCATCGGTTCCTATTCATTAAAAGTTGTTCGCTGGCTTCACATAGATATAACACATTTTGATCATGAAAATTTGAGATTAGATAATACTAAAAATTTTCTAATGAATATTATTCATCCACTTGAGTTATATGTTCAAAATTATACAGCTGAATCTTTCCAGACGTCGTTGTCAATTTATGAATTAACAAATAGAGAAGAAATATCAACAATGGTGATAAATAATACAAATATTTTTTGAGAAATATTGTTAACTAATAATATTGTATGGTCCTAGGTAACAAATGACAATGGATGGCAAGAAAAATTGTATTTATATCGTTTTAAAATAATCTATTCCATGATTGAAACAATAAAGATATTGGATTATTTAGTATCGAAATCAATCATTCAACAAACAACAATATCGAGAATTATTCATGTAAGTCGTTTTTTTTTTTGTTATCATCAATATTTCAATATTTTTTGTTTTAGACATCTTCTGTGCCTGAAGATCGAAATCGTGCTCTATTGAACTTTCTACTGACATGTTCGGAAAAAGTTTATTATTCATTTATTGAAGCATTATATTTATCTGGTAAAATTTTTTGAAATATATGAACAATCCTATGTTGCTAAATTATTCGACTTTTAGGAAATCATTCGTTAGTTAAACTATTAGAACCAAATTTTCATACAAAAAATGTAACAACTCAATTGAATGATGAACATGACATTATTCATCGATCAGTAAATATAATGCAACAAAATTTAACAACGACAACTATTAATGAAGGCGAGACTAGTTTTCGAAATTTGCATGTCGTTGTAAACGAAATATCAGAAGAAACTGAATCATCTAGTCGTAATAGGCAACAGACATTATCTGGTTCGTTATCTTCACTCGTTCTGTATCGATTGATAGTTACATTGAACGTCTATTAATTGTAGAAGTGGATGATATAGATTTTCAGAAAGAATTACCAATGGGTTTTTTAGTGCGGTTATTATTGCCTGACGTCATTGAACAATATCCATATCTCAATCCATCAAAACGAAAAAATCGAGTAATATGCGATATAAATTCTTTTTATTTCACATTTTTTTAATTATATTTTGTTTCTCTTTTATTATAGTGTTATCGTATGACAAATAATCCACGTGGTCAATGTTTATTGATCAACAATGTAGAAGATTTTAAAACAATGGAAAAACGATATGGTTCGGACTTTGATGCAAGTAAACTTAAAAGTCTTTTTCAACAAATGGGATTTAACGTGATTGTACGACGTAATTTGAAATCTCTGGTAAATATAAATTTGAAGATAAACTAGAATGGGTCTTTTTCTACTACTTCCATTCGTTTCTAGTTGACGCAAACTGTTGTGGGTTAGAGTCGGACAGGTGAAGTAAAAATCACTGTTTGTTATATGCTTTTAAAATAGCTATTCCATCACATTAGTTTTTGGCTTCGTAATTTTTAATACAGTATTAACCAATCTTAAGAACTCAGAAAAGTGGATTTTGAGATTTCATGAGAAAACTCACAATTTCGTTGAAATTTTTACTATGAACGTATCTTGATAGGGCTGATATTCTTTGTAAATTTGGTTAAAAAAATTGAACATTTTCAATCTAAAATAGATTTTTGAGGGGGACGATCGTTAACAATCTTAGTTTTTTCTTTTAATTTAAGGAAATGGAATCTATTTTAAATGAATTTGCCAAATCACTTGATCAGGATCCAGGTGATTGCTCTATTGTCATTATTTTGAGCCATGGAGGAAATGGTCGTATTTATGGTGTTGATGAACGTTATTTGGATATTGATAGACAAATTATTAATGTATTTGATGATCATTTCATTGGAAAACCAAAAATTTTTATTTTTCAAGCTTGTCGTGGTGGTAAGTCAAAAACAAAAGATCTTTGTTTTGAATTGTACTCATGTATTGATTTTATTGTAGGTCAATGTAATTATCGTTCTGATGTACAAACAAAATCAAGTGGTCTTCCCGATAGTATCGTTGATCAATCGGTATCATCCAGAATGATGAGTGATCACTCACATATTAGAAAAGTTGCCAAGCGAAGCGATATGGTCATTTGGCATTCAACAATAAAAGGTAAATTTAAAATATGTCTAATTTTTTATACCATTTCCTTCTGTATCATTTAGATTATGTTTCCTGGCGTCTTGCAGATGAGGGAAGCATTTTTATTCAAACATTGATAACGGTATTTGCTACAGCATCTTGGTGTTATGATCTTGCTAAAATGGCTGGATGTGTAGGTGAAGAAAGTCATGTGTGATCATTTCGATACTTAATTGATAAATCTCTCATTACAGGTCAATCGGGTTATGAAAGAAAAATTCTCATCCCATTCATCAATCTTTTTTCAGACGCCATGTTTTGAACATCATCTTCATTATGTGAGTCTATCATTATTATATATACGCCTGGAAATAAATAGTTGCACACAGTTTTTTCAAGATATTTTCCTTATAAAGATATACTCTTACAAAAATAATCCCATATTCTGATAGAGCTCAAAATTCTCTATCATACTGTATATAAATGTCTGGGCTTGCACTTATTTGTTGAAAAATATTTTGAGTACAATGAAGACACCCTCATCCTCAGATTCCTACAAATTCCATTTTTTCTTCCTTTTTCATTCGTCTTTTAAAGTTATTATGAATATGAAGATGCCTTTTTACAAAAGTAATTACATATTCTGATAGCGTTTGAAAATCTGATCTTAATACTATTAAGGGTGTGTGGTCTTGGATAAATCACTATGTACATAGATATCATCCTAATTTTCAATAAAACTTGGAAAATATTTCGCTAAACCATACAATGTAATAACTACTAGTGTGACACGTGGGTACATTGAAAATATTTGAAGAATTTATCAGCAAACAAATGCACTTTAGCAGGCAAAGTACAACGTGATAGAGAATTTTGAGCTCTATCAGAATATGGGATTATTTTTGTAAAAGTATATCTTTATCAGGAAAATATCTTGAAAAAACTGTGTGCAACTATTTATTTCCAGGCGTATATATTACCATAGATTTGTCTTTACCATTAACTTCTCTTTTAGCCACTGTATTTTAATCCAGGACATTTTGAAAGAAATGAATAATCATAAATAATACCTTTTTATTTTATTTTTTGTCAGATTCTTGTTTTTGTCATTTTGCCACTGTGCAGATGCCTAGTCTTTCATATCATTCTGTTCTATATTTTCAAAGCTAAACTTTCATTTTTGATGCTTGTATTTTTGGTAATAAAATGATTTACACAAACTAAAACTTTTTAATTGGTTGAACGAATCTTATACGATGTATTCAGAAAACATTCAATGAAGACGGTCATAACTTCTATCTTGACATTTGCCTTGTGATAGATAGTAAGCACAGAAAAAATTTGTTATGTTAATTGATCTGATTTAAATCTGCACACTATACGGTAAAAGGCTTTTTTCTCTAGACAAAAGTTTAGAACCTACTTGACAATCGTGCAAACGAATTAAAAAGGATAAAGAAATCTAACTTTTTGATTTCTTCATTTTATCGACACTTCTGTTTTCTGTCAGGCATTAAGATCTATTGAGAGCAAACATTGCCCTTGGTAAGCAGCAACCGCCAAGATTTAAAACATCATAGTATTTCTGTATTAATATCCTGAATATCAACAAATGTCCTTCTAATCTGATTCTTAAAATCATCTTAACTATCTAAGAAATTCTCTATACTATTTTTATAACTTACATTTAGTGTAAATTAGTAAAAGAATGGAAAAAAAGTCGATAATCAATGTCTCAATTGAAAGATATAAACTTGTTTAATTTTATAACTATATATCATGTCAGAGAGTAAAACAAACAAGTTAGATTTTATTATATTCTTTTTCTTATACTTATATAGAAATAAATCTATTTGTTTAAACATTTTGATTTTCCGTTTACGTTTTTGTTCCCTTAAACTTTCAAACTGTTTCTTTCTTTTTTATTTCTTTTGTCTTTTCATCTGATTCTTGTATATGTGTGTCTGTATAAGTGTGTACCTTCAAATTGTGAATGTCAACAGTATTTTTTTTCGAAAAACAATATTTTTATTTTTTCTATATTATTATACATCGCTCTTTTATAAACATTTTTTCTTCGATAGATCCTTAACTTCCTCAGTGTCTTTTTTGCTTCTTTTCTTATACTATGTGAGAAATAAACAAGTTCCGGTTGAAAGAACATTGCATGTATTTATATATATATATATATATTAATATATGTGTGTCGGTTGATGGGAGCGGATGACTTTTGTATTTTTCTATGAGTGATTGCGATGTATGTACATACAAGAGAGTAAAGAAAATGTGTCTAAGAGTAAACAAAACTCGCAATTAGGCAATGAACATTGAAAGATATTTAGTAAGTTAGATACCAATTTGTTTTTACCTTCAAGCTAATGTGATTGTTAGATATAACAAACACATTATTTGATACCTTATCTTTTCTATGATCAAAGAAAATAGATAAATGTGACAATATATAATTACAAATGATTAACGTATAATAGGATGGTAACTAATTAAGATCATTAGCTTTTCTGTAGAGAATATTGACTAATTTGCTGAAAATACTAGAGATTGTACAATCAGACAACTTTTGCCAAACCAATGACTGTCTTTTCGGAAAAAATTTTCCTTTAAACGTATGTTTCTCATATTCATTATATTTTACTTACTACTTGATCGTCTTTCTTCACTGCTTTAGAAAGTTTTCTGTTGAAGTGTGGTAGGTAGGTCTAGATATATGTATTTTGCTGAAACTGTGTATGAGAATTTTAGAAGGATCATTTTGTACGAATAGTGGACGCTAGTACAGTTGTCTAATTCACTATAGTTGAAAAAAATCTATTTTAGTATGGTGAAATTTATCGAACTTTGATAATATTAACTTTTCATCTTCGACAATTCTAAATTATATCAGTTCTGAGGATTCTTTTTCAATTTTTTTTCTTCCAATCGTTCATTTATGATACATTGAAGTTGAAAAACAATTGAACGTTCTACCCTAGTGAATTAGGTACCCTGCTACAAGAATACCATAGGTGCTTGCAACTAAAATATTACTTAGCGGATACCTAAACGGCCAGTCATTTTAGATGATCGTGCGAACACTCATTCTTGTAAAGATATGTTTTTCTTTTATAAATGTCTGAACGTGAAACAAAACGGTGTGGGGAAAAAAATCTAGTACCTATAGTGCGTTCAGGGCAAGTAATTGAGTACCTCTCAAGTACTATTTACTTGAAAAAGATTCAAGCACCTATGACATTCTTGTAGCAGGATACCCGGATAGGTACCTAAGACTCTATCGAACATTCATATGCACTATCTGAGCTCAATTTGCTCGTGAGTTATCTCTATCTCAGGACATGGTTATCTTTTTCCACTACCCTACCAAAAAATTAGCAATTAAGACATGTAAACATTTTTATCTTAACTCTATTTCTAAATCTAAAATCAATCGAATTGTGACTATATAATATCTTGTCTTAAACGATGCGACATCTCTTTTAAAAAGGAGTAGAATCTTCTTTTATTGGATGAAAATTTAGCAATACAAGAAAACGATCATTGCATTGGTTAATTGGGACGTAATGTACATCATCATCATCATCATTCTACACACATAGGATAGTTTAGTACTAATTTAATTTAATTTTCCTTAGTATAAGTGTGCTCTTCTTATCTTGCGTGATTCCTATTTCGAAGGTTAAAGGAAAAAAAGATGACACATGTGAAATGTAGCTACTTTTTGCAGATTAACAATATCTTGTTTTATTATGTATGAATGTAGTTGTGTTTGTATACTACATGGTTTATGTAACTAAATCGCTTAAATCGTTTTTTTTTCTATTCAACTTTTTTTCTTTATCCATGAATCTAAAATCAAAGTTTTTTCTTGAAATAACAACGTAATTTTTAATTTTCAACACATTAAGAGTATGTATTTCTGATTTTGTAGATGAATAATCATCTAGAGGCACTTGCTGTTCATTGAGAACTTCTCTGCCAATATCTTTGTTGAATAATGTAGGTTAGAAAGAGTTGGTACGATAGTTCAACATTTATATTTGGGTTTTCAAGAAGCAATAAATGAACTATCAATCAGACATTCGACGATCGTTTGAAAATCTCTCAAACAATAACAATACACATCAACCAGATGATTTAAAAGTTTGTTTTTATTTTATCTGAAGAGGTCTTGACTTTTTGACTGAATACAATTAATTAAATATCATTTTTCATATTTTAGAAGATCCAACAACCACCACACTCTCTTCCACACCCACACGGCAACAAATCAAGGTCAATTAGTCGATATTTTCTTGGTGCACGAGGCAAACGTTATAGCGTAGATAATAATGATACAGTAGACATTAAACGTTATATAACTCAAGCAGGAATTGACGTTGAACAATGGATAGGACTTAATTTATTTCGGGTAAGAATAACATTTATTTTAACATTCATCTTCTATTATTGTTCTGTTTGTTTAGGATGATACTGTATGGCGAAGGTATTTGATAATTAGTAAACAAGAGCTTTTTGTAGGAAAACTAAGGTATATTTTAGTATTATTTGATTTTAACGGATTATGTTGATATTTTATTATTTATTTTCTCTTTAGAAATATTACTTTTAAAATAAAACATCGTATCGAATTATCTCGTCTATGGTTAAGTGAAGATATTCAAAATCCAGATGGTACACCATCATCAGCCGCACTATCCATAACAACATTAGCATTTTATGATATGCAAAAAACAATAATTATCGGTTGGCCAATAATTAATTATGTAGCCGAATTTGATACAAAACAAACAAAAGATTTATGGTTTCAAACATTAAATTCATTTTTACAATTATCATGGCAATTGAACAATTATTTAATTGAACGTTGTCGTATTGTCGTCGTTCGAAATTATGAACAAGATCAAAATAATAGTTCAACGTCAGTTTTAATTCGAAAAATTATCGGTATATCACCTAGTGAAACCACTCGTGATGTCATTCAGAAATGTATCGATGCTTTTCACCTTGAAGTAAGATAATTTTTGTAAATTAATTAATTTTATTTGTATAACATTTTCGAACTATAAGATTCTATTCATTTATTCATGAAAATGTTTATATGCTAGATGGTAGATTTATTTCGTCTTTTCCTAAATTACTGATAGAATTTTATTTCTTTTAAAAATTCATTCAAATATTAATCATAGATAGTTAATTCTTGACATTTCTCTTTCTTCTACATTAATGTGTTTACATGAGAATTCCACTTTGTGTATGTTTTATTAAGTAAAATGTTGTTATTATTGACATATTGTACTAGCAACTACGCAATTGTTAAGCCGAAACACTTTTCTGTACAATTGTATATATTTTTTTCTTTTTCTAGGATCTAGTTATTGATAATTATGTTTTATTAGTAAATTGTATTAGTACCACAAATAATCACCATAATGGAACGATGAATTCTATAACATCAAATTCTATACCGTTAATTGGTGAGTCTAAATCAAATATTACTTGAAAAAAATTTTGTTAGTCGATAAAATGCGTTTTTTTTCTCCACACAATTGAAGGTAAAAATTCTGTACATTATATCACGTGATGTATGTTATTAAAAAAAATGTAAAAAAAAAAGAATTAAGAAAAATAAAACCGTACTCTTGATATCGTATTTTGTGTGGTGTTTGTGTGTAATTGTTATTTACACGATATTGCATGATGATCTTGAGAAGAAGAAAAGAAAGAAAAAGAACTCTTTTTTTTTCTTTTTATTATTCGATATTCTTTTGACCTCCGTACTACATATATAGGTGTGTATATCTCAAGAAGAAGAAGAAGAAGAAGAAGAGAAAAAGGTTGAAATTCTTTTTTTCGTATGTATGACTTAGTGGCACTTGAGAAATCTTTCTACAACAAACGATATGATCAATAAAATTTAGGAAGAAATGTATATGTTATTAAATATGTTTATGTCGTCATTCATTGTAATGAACTTTATTATGAGAAAAATAACTAATAAATACTTCTAATAATCAAGAGATTCCACTTACATATTCGAATAATTCTTAATTTACCATTAAGATAGAATATGTACATGTAATTCAATGATAGCGAGTAAAATAGTGCAACTCCTCATATAGTGTAAAGAAAGGAACGAATTATGTCATTAATGAGAAGACGTGAACGTTGGCATCATTTTCATTTGCTACGTCATATCAGATCAAAAAGTTTAGATGAACAACGTAATAGAAGATTAACACAGCAATCGAATCGAAATACAATTACATATAATTTTAGAACAACAAAGTTAAGATCAAAAACAACAACGGGTAGGATAAAAAAATGAGTGGAATGTGTGATCGTCTATGTAATAAAAGTGGGTCACTTTCGATTTTCCTCTTGCTCCTGTTAGAGATAAAAGTTCTGTAATTTGATGTGCTAGAATTTGTTGTAGGTGTCACCTACGCTTTGTGTCGCAATAGATTCTCTAAATGATATTTTTTCACGGTCATGTTATGCGCAAAAGACACGGTTGAAAGGATAACCCTTAGTTTCTCAGTCTCGTCACTCTATATATATATTACGTCGGTGTCTACTCCTTTTCAGTGGATTGCCATAGCTATTGAAGAGTTAAATTGTAAAACTCTAGGAAAACAATCGATACATAGAGAGAAATATTTTGTGAAATTTTTATTTCAAATTAATGTCATCAAATAATCGATCGCATTTTTCTCGAGATATACTATATAAGTACTAGTTTTGATGCTAGTCAAAAATTTGATATTTGCTCGTCCCCATCGATAAATGGACATTGAGCGCCAATCGGCACTTCTCAGCTGAGCTTCCAGGAATCAGATCTTTTTAGAAAGCCAACATAAGCTTTCAATCGAACATATTCTGCTAGAGTGTAGAGTACTTCAGGTTATCTCTGTAAAACAAATTTTTAGAGCTAATGAATCAGTTTCTTTTGAATTAGAAACTGTTTATTGTAATAACAAGCTGAAAAGTTCTGGTTTCAGAAAAATTTTCTAACTCTAAGGAACTAATTCATTAGCCACAAAAACTTGTTTTGCAAAGATAATTCGATGTGTTTCACACTCTGGCTGTATCAGAATACGTCCGATTGAAAACTCCTATTAATTCTCGAGAGATTCGATTTTTGCAGGCTCATCTAAGAAGTGTTTACGGAGACAAATGAATATCAGCATCAAAAGTATCTCTAATAAAGTATATCTCATAAAAAAATGATTGCTCACTTGACAAGATTTCCTCGTGGATTGTGAATTTTTTTGTTGAAAAAGACCTCGCATTTGAAAGATAATCATCAATTATAAAATCCCTGTATTTCTGAAACAATTAACAGCCAACACTTTAGAATAATATCGTAAATAGAAGAAAGCTGTGGTTACGTTTTATTCTAATAATCTCTCTTGGAACAGAAGTTTATTGAAAAGAAATGAAATGTTCATTTGATCCAGTTAAAGAGGCTCGAATTTGTTGGATAATCAATATTTAGTGAGATCTATGACCAGACAAAATTATGAAAAGAGACATTCATCATATAGATGTTAAATATATACCATATAGCCGGTCTAGCAGTGTTAGAATGATATCTGCCTGTTTTCGAGTTTTAACAGAAAAAATTTTGATTGATCGATGTCACTATTTTTTATCACGTCTAAAATTTGCATTAATCCTTTTTCTGATACTTTAATATTCTATACTGTAGACTTGTCTATATTTGTGTGGAGGTAATTTGAGTGTGGTGAAATATTTTTCTTCGCACATTCATTTCTTCCTGTTTATTTTTTTTATGTCAGTTCAACTCATTTGTTTTAATTTTTATGGTTTCATCTATCTTCGTTTATTTTCTTTAAATACTATTTTGTAATAATATGAAGCAAAGAAAAAAAAAAAAAAAATCTTAACAATGTTCATAACTATTCGATATTGTAGAAAATTGAAGTGGTTTCTTCACTTTTTTTAAGGTATGTATGCGTATGGACATCCTTGATTGTACATATTAAAAATGTATTTGATATGATACATTTGTACAATGCCAACGTCTTTTTCTTTTGAATATTGATGTTGGGCTTCTTTTCGCCATTTACGTAACATTTTTTTCTAAATTTTGATGACCTCGTATTAAGAGTGTAGTAAAAAAAAGAATAAATAAAAAAGAATAACTACTTGACATTTTTCAAGGGTAAAACGGATAACGAAAGTCTCCATGATGATGATCGTTTATTATTATTATTATTTGTTTCGTTTGTCTTCTTGTAGAGACAACACACGATTGAATTGCGTCCTTCAAATTCTATTAATAGAAGCATATAACCTTAGAATAGAATTTGAAAATTAAACACATTCTGACTCATATAATTGACTGCAAATAAAAATCATTTCATCTTAGAATTGAGATTTTAATAATATTTTTCAATATAAATTTGAACATTTTTTCATTAGTCTCATACGATTTCTAGCCATCATTTGTTCTTTTTATCTTTTTTTCTCTCAATTTAATACATCATTGAATTTGAGAGATATTCTGTGTCTTTTACGTTAAACACACGTATAACCTATGACCTTCAAAATGTGTCGAATATGATGATATACTAAATTTTAGAAGAAAAAAAAAATGACATGTTACTTTTTTCGAATCCTAATTTGTATGTTGGTATATTTTCAAACTTCAGACAAACTTTTCAGACAAAAACTCAACTATCCAAAGTGTGTTGTACTTCAATCTTGAACTGAGTTGTCGAAAATATATGTTTATCTTATTTGAATGAAAAGTTGAACAAAAATTCAAAAATTTTTTCTTTAACAATAATATTTTGTTTTCAAAACTGTTTGTAATAGAGATCAAGTTTGAGTATTTTTTACATAAGATGTAGTTGTTATCGAATATTATATAACTAAAATTATAGAAGATCATTAAGATGAAAGCGTAAACAGAGAAAGAAATAAACAAATATTCAATAGCTTTCGAAGAGATGACGCCGTTAAGTATGAAAAGAAGACAAAACAAAATAAATCCTAGTACAGTTCATATGGTATCTAGAAAATAAATGTATACTATGTCGACTTCTTTTTCTTCAAATATGTTCGAAATATTATGAATTTGTTTTATGTTTTTATTGATGCCGTCGATGACAATAGGGATTCTGTCTTAGATTATTCGAGCAGATATTACGCCATATTGAATTACCTAAACTTTTATGTAAAAAAACAAAAAAAAAAGAATTTTTTTTTATATAAATCTAATACAGTCTGTTACATTTTGCATCCCACATGTTCTAAATGTGTAATATAAGGGGTTTAAGAAAATATCGATTTTAACAGTCACTATTTCTTTCACTAGATATCAAGATACATTATATGTAATATGAATCTTGATATCCAATGAAAGAAATGGTGACTGTTAAAATTGAAATTTTCTTAATCCCTAAGTCATTATCAGTTAAATGATATATATATCACTGATGAAGGAGCAGAAGAAAAAACACTTGAAGAACGTGTGTGTAGATTAAAGTAGAATAAGCTATATTTAAATATTTTATTATGCATTAGATCAGATCATGTAACATTCTGATGTTGATTATAACAGGCTAGAAAAGATTACATTGTTTCAAAATTGAATAATTTTGATTTGAATGATGATTTTGTGACTATATCGTAGATTAATACACCTGGAATGATTTTAAATTATTAATGATACAAATGATACAATGATATTGTTTATAAACGTTAAAAATAGTTAAGATACAGATTTAAAAATAACTAAATTTGTTTCAATTCACATTTTTGAGTGTCTACAAATTGAGAATAATTAAGAACAAAAAAATTTTTGATAAATAATTCGTTTTCTCGAGCAATGTTCATTTTTTGAGTACTTAATTTCAATTTTCTTTCTCACATATTTTATTCGATAAATAATCAGATTATACGAATAGTATTGTTTTTAATTGACGTTTTAACGACATATTAATCATATTTATTTTTTTTGTTAGACCTGTGTGTGTGTGTGTGTTTTATGAAACAATTTTTTATTCTCTCTCTCTCTCTTTGTCCTTTTATATGTCTTCGTCCTTTTATTTAAAAAAAGTATAACAGACACATCTAGAAAAGAAAATCTAGATCATGCATAAAGAAGATTGTTATACAAAAGAAAATTGACTATATATTGTATAAAACTCGTACTCATTTTGTGTACATTTAGCATTTCACACATTCATGATGAACTCTATAGCGAGAGAGAGAGAGAGAGAGAGAGAGAGAGAGAGAGAGAGAGAGAGAGAGATAGAAAAGACGAGTTCAATACAAAAAATTATTTTTAAACTCATCACATTCAAAGATTATTTTATTTTCAAAAAAGATAAAATACATCCAATGAGTATTGAAACTCTTATTTGATGCTGAAAGTGTTTACATTGTTTAATTTACATTTCACTTTCTCCATCATCAATAATTGTAGTTATAAAAGGAAAAACAGAAGAAATAATAATAATCAAATATAAACAAAAATATTATTCTTATGTTTAAAACAAATACAGCTTTATATGACATTTCTAAATTACAGTATAAACATTGTGCAGGTAATCTTTTTACCCGCCCCTTCCCTCGCTCCGCTCTTTTCTTTTCGATTGAGTTAAAATTTATACCGTTCTATACTAATTATATCAGAGATCGAACATCGAAAAAGAAAATTGATATATTTTTTGCCCAGAATTCTTTGATAGGTTTTTTTATGGATTTTCTACAAAACTCTGGTTTTCATTGATGTACATTACGATCGCGCTCAAAATTTTACCACAGATACTTCAGACATTAATCTCAGAATGCACAGTTTTCTTTTTGGTTTCTAATTTTTGCTTCTCGAGATATGAGAAAAATGGCCAAAATTCTACTTAAAACCTCGGTTTTTGAGTTTGAAAAACCTATAGCTAAACGAAACGCAAAAAGAACTTGCATTCTGAGATACGGTCCCGGATATGTGTGGGAAAATCTTGAACGCAACTGATGAATTTAATTGGATGGATGAATTTTTAATTGGGTCGTAATGTACATGGAGCGAAAATCGTAGTTTTCCAGAAGAACATGTCAAAGAATTCTGGAAAAAATACATCAATTTCCTTTTTCAATGTTCTACCTCGTGGATGAATTTGCACTCAATCGGATGTTTACTTCACATTCCCCAACTAGGTGGAAATAGAGGAGAATATCCTTAAAGCGTTGTGAAACTACTAGCTTTAATGATGATGTCATTTTAAACTGTAAAAGTTTTAAAGTATTATGGCATTCTTACAAAATAAACGTATAGTTGCATTTGAATAGTGTAGTGTAACTTGCCACGTTGGTAAATGTGTACAAATGAGATGCCGTTATTTGTTAAGAACTTGAAGTAGATTAAGACATTTCGAATAAGATGTTCAAATTTCTGCCCTATTTCTTGTACATATCATTCATGTTCAATTGACATAAAATCATATTCTATTGATAGATAGTTTGGTTCATGAAAAACTTTACTTTTTAAAAATTCCTTAAAATTTATTAATTTTCTGAGTTTTTTGATGGGGTATCCAGCACTCATCGAAAAGACAAACAACCATTTTTGAAGACTTTCTATATTGATTTTCACTTTAGATTGGACGAAGAAGTTGTTTTTTAGACTGTCCTCAATTTAAAGCCTTGATATCAATGAAATGAAAAAGACAATTGTTTTAGTCGTATATAAAGTGTCTATTCTTTAAAAATATTTCGTAGAAACAAATTTAGTAGTTCATATGCGAGTATAAGTGCAATAGTTCATAATATTGTTTAACTTTATAACTACAAAGTAGAAATATTATGTAAATGATATCCTTAATTGTTATAATTCGAATTAGCTGTGAATGCCACGATGACAAATTTAAAATACTAATTAATATTAAGGAATTTCTCAGTTAATACTCCCATCTATCTATCTATCTATCTGTAGAATACAGTTTTTTTCTTCAATTGAAAATCAGTGATATGCACAGGCGATATGAACGATCTTCACCTGTTCTATTTTTTATTTTATGAAAAGCGTTGTCTTGTCTTAATAGAAGAGTTTATCTAAAGTTTGTACAAAAACAAACAGAAGTGATGTAAAAGGATACACAATGTTTGGAAAGTTGTCTTTCATCTTGCTCCATCATTAAATCTGTTGCATATATCTTTTTTAGTTGTGTTTTATTTTTTGTAGGACATGAATATCCGTATGCAATAAAAATGAAACATCTTAAATCAACATCATTTGAAGATGATTATTCGAGTCATGGGAGTAACAATAATCTAATTTCTAGTAACGAAAAATCATTAACAAGTAGTAGTGTTGTCACAACAACATCACAAAACAATATATTAGCAGCACATGATTTTGAACTTCGTAAACGCGATATGACAGGTATGAAGGTGAATAATACTTAAAAGCCATTATTTGTTATTTTTATTATTATTATTAAAGATGGTCAAACTAAAAAACATCGATTTTTTCCAAAACGAAAAACTCATCCAAAAGAATTATATCCAAAACAACAATTTGTCGATGATTATGTGTCATCTTCAGCATCGACACCTACTATAAAGCATTCATTATTTGGTCAACCATTAGAACAACTTGTCTTATCGAATAATAACGAGTTACCAAACATTATTATGGTATGATTTGAATCTGTTTTATTTTGATGAAGTATAATAAAAAAATTTCTTCTTTTTTTCTAGCATTTATTAGAACTTTTATACAATAAAGGACCAGATACAACCGGAATATTTCGAAAAGTAGCTAATTCTAGATCAGTCAAAGAATGTATTGATAAAATTGAACGAAATGTTCCGATCGACGATAATGAACTCCATCCCATTCTTGCAGCCGGACTATTTAAAGTAAGTGATATTATTTCTTTCATATTCAAATATTTTTTCAAGGTATCTTATGTCTTCATACGAAAGGACAAGTGGGCATTGGACTTGAAATTGATCCATCGCATTTTATTGCTATCTAAAAGTCTATCTAAAATTCATGATTTTCATCCTTCTAAGCGCATGTGGATGAATATATCCGACAGAATCTGCTCGAAAAGAAACATTTGAATCACATTATGAGTATAATCATAAACTAGATGTTTCTCTCAGTATTATGTACCAATAGTTAGTCCTTAATCAATATTTGGTTGAGTATAACTGCTGTTTGGTTGATATAACCGACTCCGACCAATAAGTGAAGTATATGAATGAATGCAGTTTCTTATACTCTGTCAAAATATATCATGTAATTCCAAATATAAGATGTATTTCTTAGACATCTCAGGCAATTTTTCTAGCAAACGAACAGTTCGGAAAGTATCGAGCAAGAACTCATTTAGTTTCGCTTTTCATGTTGGGAACGAATATAGTATATATTTTGATGAGAATGGTAGGCGATTTGGGCAAATGTTGATTGAGGACTAGCTGTTGGTACATAATACTGGACTAAATACTGAAGAACTAGAGAGAAACATCTAATTTACGATTATACTCATTATGTGATACAAATGTTTCTTTTCAATCAGATTCTTATACTGGTCTACTTCTAACATAGAAGAAATATTTATTTATTTTTATTATTTAATGCTGTTCTTCTATAGGATTTAGGCAGTTATTTGACGAAAAAATGTATTGGTATGGCGGTAGAGTGAAAGATCCGTTTTTTAGCTGTTCCCATGTGTTTATGCTATTATCTTCCCAGCTTAAGCATGAAGTCAGGTTTTTTTCTCTAAATTATCACATAGAATCATCGCAAACGTTTGTGTAAACAGAAATAGATCATGTACATTGAATTGAAGTTTAGCTATGAGTATGATGTAATATAAAATGAATGCTCTTGTGTAAGCTAGGATCAAACATTGATTTGAATCAGTTCTCATTCTTCTGCATGACCACTGTAAAATAAAACTATACCTGCATGCGCACCTCCTATTGACAGTCTACAATTGTTATATTTAGCATTTTCTTCGAACGTTGCCTCAACCAGTGTTCAATTCAGATCAATATGATAATTGGAAAAAGTGTTTACGTTTGACACAACAAGAAAAAATACCCTATGCTAAAAAATGGTAGATAATTTAAGCAATTTTTCCGTCTATTTACCTTTCTCTATATACTCTCTCTCTCTCTTTCGTTCTAGGATCCTTTCATCAATGCCAAATGCAAATTATATATTATTGAAAGGTTTCATAAGCGTCCTACAACGTATAGCCCATTTTTCTGACACAAATGGTATGACACCATTTAATTTGGGTTTATGTGTGAGTAATAGTCTGTTCAAAACTGAATCAACAACGATTACAAGAGGAAAGCAAGAAGCCGATGTTATGTCATCGATAGTTGAATTTCTCATACATAATTGTGTTATTCTATTCGGTAACGATATTCTAACGTGTATTCAAGATAAACGATTTATTATTAATCAACAACATAATCATCATAATCAAGAAGATTTGTCGAATCAAGGTCTGTACTGATATTAAACTATTTAAACAATAACTGATAAAATTTAGCTAAAGATAAATATTTAAATTATAACATTATCTTTGTTATTTTAGCTCCTCCAACAGCATCTTCAATCGAAAGTTTGGATGAAGTTGAATCATCTCCCTATTTACCAGTGGTAAATCGTTCACGTGATTCTGGTTTAGCAGCTAGTGATCAACCATTCAATGATGATAGTAGTGAAATATCCGAACATATTTTAAGAACAACAAATCCATTAGTGAATAATCGTGCAACACGATATGATACATTTCAACGAATGAAAAATTTTAACGAACAAAAACGTCATCAACCACCAATATCTACTACTAATGGATTTTATCCCACTGATTCAAAATTGAAAGATGTTCATATTAGTTTATTTAATTCGGATAAAAAGAGTGAATCTGTTAATTTATCATTACCTAGTAGTGATGAAAATAATAAACTCGATTGGACTCCATGCATAGTATCTGGTAACGGATGTGTACTGAATAGTCTAAATATTGTAACAAATAATAATAATAATAATAATAATAATAATAATATTAACATGAACAATTCGAATGCGAGTGTTGTTCGACGTCGTAGTTCAAAATCAAAATATTTTTATAAACCATCGAATAAATTTTTGGAACGTGAAAAATTAACAAAAATAAATATGAGTACATCAGATGAATCTGATAATAATAATAATACGACAACAACGACGACAACGACCACATTAAACGCAAATGAATCATTGTGTAGTACACGTTCATCAACTACAACAAAATTAAAACGTTCAAAATCATTATCGAGACATTCTTCATTAGGAAGTGCCGAGTATCAATTACAACAACAAAATAAAAAAACAAATATGACGACGAACGTAAATGATGTAAAACGTACATCATCATTGAAACAATTTTATTATCGCCGTTCACTGAGTAGTGACGATGCAGACGAAGACGAAAATAATGATGATGTATCAGATCGAGAAAAAATAGTAAAACAATATGATATTGATGAAATTTCAAAAACACCAACCGAACAGTATGTAACAACAGCAAACGATCATCGTATACGTCTAAAAATGTCACGAATGGATGTTGGTGATAAAGAAAGCGATCAAGATGGTGAACATTTTTTACTGACTAGGTTTGTAACTATTTTTATGATCACATACAGTAGACAAGAAAGTTTCAAAATGGTTGATGATTGATGAATATGCTTTGATCCTTAATTGATTAGGTTCTAGAGAAAGAAATGTACTCGAATTTGGGGACGAGTATGTATTTTTCTACCATGCTGCTTGAAATGAGATTAGATGCTCTATGGATAAAGGTATTAACTGATTATATATATGTGACTTAATCCAAATAATTACATCTGGCTCTACATCTAAATACAAACGTTGGTTAGATATCTTACTTTTTAAGTTTAATAATTGTGGTCAGCCTGATAAGAGTAAGAAGTTAAGTCAGTAGGACATGTTACGTGTAATAATGAATCAATAAGTCTAATATTATTTACCTAGACGCATGCTGGTTAGTTCACAGAAAGAGAGTGAAGTATTTATATGCTATGGATAATAGCATTTGAGTCATATAACGCTGCTCTTCACAGTGGTCGTCATGAAAATTGCTTGATAAATTCTAATTTAAAGCTCGCTATTGCTTGCGTATGATGCACACGGTTTAAGACTAAATAATGAAATATAAACAAAATAATTCTCGTATTTAGCAGCAGGAGTATCGTATATTCTATGCTCATAAAGAATGATTATTTAAATATTTTTGTTTTTCTCCATTTTAAGGTCGACATATAATGAACAACAAAACAAGATCTTAAAATATCAACAACAGTTATACTCAGTTCAACCACAAAATATTGATTTAAAAGTTAATTTAAAATCCAAAGAGCAGGACACATCGTCATCAGAATCAAATTTAGACTTGACTAGAGAACCCTTAATATCAATGTATAAACGTTTAAAATCGCCACCACTTGTACAAGTACCTTCGTTATCATTCGACAATGAAAAACAGCAGCTAAAACAAATAACACCGACACGTTCAGCATCATTTTCATTGCGAAAATCGGATCCAAATATTACATTACCTATAACAACAACAATGACAAAAACTCCAGGAACAATAAACAATCAACTTTATTTTGAAAAATCAAAATTAGATGTCCCTGATTCGAACCCACGTTCAAATTCCTTTTATTCTCGACCATCAAATAATAATAATGACGGTCGATCACGTCATTTTGGTCCACTAACGGCAACAAATCAAGTTTATGTAATGTCAACAAACAGAAATATATCACAACCAACATCGTCCTCATCCTTATTCATGGCAACATCACCGCCCTATCCATCGTCTTATGAAACTATACCTTCGACTTCTTCACATGATCGACTTATGTTACATTCTCAACCACCTAATTACTTTAGCCGATTATCACAACAACAGACAAATCCATTGCCAGTTTCGGGCTTACCAATTAAATCTTCATCATTCGATTCAGATACGAATACAAGTAACGATATTCTTCCTTGTCGCACATTTGTTCATTGTGGTCCACCATCATCCTCATCAAATTCTTCATATTTACGTCGAATGCCTGCGTCAGCATCTTCATTTCAACCCATTGATCAATCACAACATCAGACTGTTAAACGTTCATCAATGTATGTTGTATCAGTTAATCAAAAAAATAATAATAATCAACAATCGTCGCCTCAAGTTGTCCTAAATACGTCTGTTCATGTCAAACCATCAGATTTAACTCCGACAAATTCATTTCATAATGAAGAACATCATCAATCAGAAGCACAATCTTATTGTACATCGAGAAGACGACCATGTCATAGACAAAATGCATTGAGATATAAATCAATTGATAATGAAAATCAAAATATTGAACATTCTCCTCGTTCTCAAACACCACGTAACGATGAACGTGATTTGGATATAAGGAGAATATCACGTTCTTCTATTCGAACGAGTGATCATCTACAATTACCATTATCTCCCACAACAACATCGTCCACTACTACCACAAATCGCATTTATTCTAGTGATAATGATTATTCGTATATGTCACGTTATCAATCGATTGAACGACGATCAAAACAATCACCATCATTCGATGATGAATTAAAAGAAATATCATGGAGTGTTAAAGAAAAAGCAAAATTATTTGAAAAACAAAAACCACATTCTCAAACTTCAAGAACTCATCAACAGCAGAAATTTTCAACTGGAAGAGAAAATTATGTGTGAATATTTGTCTCTTTATTTATATATATATTTTTTTTTCTTTTTTTTGTTTTGTTTTGAAAACACGTGAAACCGGTGAATGAACAACGTTTTGTGTTTTACTTATTTTTCTGTTTTCTCCCAAAAAACGTGATACTTTCTTTTTCTTCGTCGTATTGCACAAATGTCTTCCTCATGTTTCAACGTTTTTTTTGTTTTGTTTTCTTTGTACATTGTTATTTATCGTTTCCATTTTTAAATTTTGTATAGTGTAGATATATACTCATTTCTGTTTTCATTTGATGAAAGAGAGAGTTTAATGTAAACGAGACGATATGACATTAGCAAGATTAGTCTAGCGATTTAGAATACTTTTGTATTAGCAAACACAATATTTTGTTACTATTTTTAAGAACCCAGTTTCTATAACAAAATCTAACTTTCTAAGGTAGCTATGATAATACATAACTATTGTGATTTTGGGTGCGTTATTGTTCTAGTCTGTTACTTTTGATCAATTAATAATGTTAAAAAGTATAGACAACATTGCTATGAGTTTCAATCGAATCAGTTTTTATTATAAAAATTTTAAAAATCGATCTTTGTTCAATTCATAACTTCTAACATTTTTACTGATACACACACTACACGTATGTTAAATATAATTTAAACTATTCAAAATCCATTTTGATATTTTGAATGGATGAGTTAGCATGAGCGTTCTTCCTTTTTCTTATCATCAATCTAGAAAATGCAGGAAATATTTTACTTTTTTTTTATCATTTTCGTCGAACAAATTACATGTATAATATTGAGTTTAGTCTGCCGTCCAGAAATATGGTGGTCTGTTATACTTCCAGGTTTTTCTCCTTTTTTTTCCATTTTTATCTGACAATTGAAATTACACGAACAAAACATTAGTTGGAAAATAATCTCTTCCGCATATGCAGTTTTTTATTCTCAGGTTGTACTTTTCTTATTCTTTTTTTTTAATCAAACAAAAAAAATTGCAATTCTTTTTTCTTATCTTTTTTTTTGTCGCCTTTCTTTGTGCTTGTGGAAGAATACGATCTGAATTAGTTTGTATTGTTTATGTCTTTTTATTATTATTGTTGTTGTTGTTATTCTTGAATTCCATTTAGCTAGACTGCTGTGATGTTTGTTGTTTAATTTCAGCAAACTTAAAAACGTGTTCATATTTACGGTGCTATTTGTGAAGAAATATCTTCTCTCTATTCGGGTTACCAATATATGTTGTTTTTTTTGCCAAGACCAAAAAATGTGTTTTTTTGCGTTTGTTTTATCTGAATATATATATATATATAGATACGTGAACGATCTTGCATGTTTTTTTGTTGTTATTGTTGTTCATATTCTTATTCTTAGTTTATTATTTTTAACAAATATAAATCGTTAAACTGGTTACTTTATACATTTTTAAAGACAAAAATCGTAGCAAAAAGAATGATCAAACGGAGTAAATAAACTAAATGAAATAATTAGCTATTTTATTATTTACAGGCAGATTTAGACTTTGCCACTAGTTTCAATTCTAAAATTTTGGTAACTTGTAGAATATCTCTTCATGCATATTGTGTCACTATTAATTTCCCGAACGGTTACATTTTTGTTCCTGAAAACGAAACGCTAAGTAACGGCTTTTCTTTTTGTAAAAAGGTAGACAAGTAGCAGTATTGATAGAAATTCTAACAAGTTGTACCTTAGCTAAATGGCTTTTCAATTGAAATCGAACAAAAGATTGTGAGTCATGGATTCTTCAAATAGTTAGTGTAAATTCTGGGGGAAAAGGACATAGTTTAAAAAATGAAGTGTGTATCCCACAGGACAAAGTGTTAAAGTTTTAGATAACTAATTATGAACAAGAGATGAGAAGATCCAACACATCTCAGAATTATCTGGGCATGATGCGAGCAAATCTCTATAAGAACAAAATCCATATACATCTAAATAAGAGAGAAAGTTGATGTTTTTATTCGAGATTTATTCATGATAATATAAAAAACAAACCGTTTCTAGCAAAACATTACGCATTAGATTGAATACATACCATAAAAAACAACATAATGAGCAAATTTTATATAAGTATTAGTCTGGACACCTCATTCAGTAAAACAATCATTTACAAATATCAATACAATATGAAAGCCTTTTCTTCTTTTTTTACAAAAAAACTTATATCAAAGTACTGCTAACTTCAAAGGAAAGGCTACTATATTGTAATCGGCACCGAGATATTTCATCGAAGTTTTCTTTTTATAATTTGTTGCTGTCAGTAATGTCGTTTTGAGTTAAGTATTGTCTTAGTCTCACTCAAAAATATCCAAGATTCATCTAAAATTCTTGAAATTTACTGATACCGCGAGCATGGAAAAGTATAATACTAACCACTATAGACAATAGGTTCATTTTGGTCGATGATTAACAAATAATATATTCTTAAAATGTGGGTATGTTGGACCGTCGTTCTACAGAGACAATTAAACACAGTTTTCCAGTCGTTCAGTACTGTATTCTATGTTTTATCTCTGTTTTTGATTTAATATTGATTACAAATATACGAGACAGTTGTAAGTCAATCACTCGCAATATTGTGTATAGCTGGCTCATTTAAGACTGAAAGAACATGATAAAGTCTACTAGAATTATTATACATGAAATGTTGAATGATGATACTGTTTTTAATTATACGCACAACTGACGGATTACGTCTTAGTAGTGATTTTTATATCTATCGAGTATTGAAAATCTTACTAAATATTGCCATTAGGCATGCACGTATATCTATCAAACAAAAATTGCATTTCATCATTCACATTGTCTATGTTGTTTATAGTCAGTTTCTAATTTCAGATTATGTATCATACTCTCTCTTACAAAAAAAAATGATTTATTTAATTCCAGTAAAGTTTGTTATAGAATGAATAATGTCTTTTTAAGAACAATAACAAATCTATTGATGGTTTTTTTTTTATTCAATGGTAATTCAAAGTTTGAACAATCAATCAATAATATGAACAGTTTACAACTCGAAATCAACAAACAGAATTGTATAGAATAGTTATGGTCAGCATTTGAAATTTTTGCGATATTTTAGGCAGAATTAAAATGTTTTCAGTCGGATAAAAACGGTATTGTTCAGGTAGATAAGTGCAACTGTTTACTAATGTAAAAATTTAGCATTAATTATTTTTGTGAGAACTCTTCATTGGAGATAATTATGATCAGTATGGGAAAATTACACAGAATAGGTAAAAATTAATATTCATCATTTTCAAAAACTAATGTTTATACTACGTCAAAAGACTTAAAAAAATTCTATTTGAATTAGAACATTCACCACCTATCCCATATCGGCAAACAACTTGTCATTAGATATCAGTCTGACACAATTGTAATCTTTGGTAGACGATGAGGATAATCGCACAGATGAATTAGCTGAATTATTTTTATGTACAGAGTAAAATTATCAAAATGTCGACAATCTACTTCTAAAAACTTCGTTCAAGAACAAATTGAAGTGGAAAACAGACGAGGAGCGGAGGAAATAAGTAGTGAAATCGATCTCAAGTCGAACGTGCATCCTATGTATGCGGAGAAAAACAGGTGACATGTTTAGTTTATTCAATGTAATAATATAGAAAATCTCACGAGGGAAGTACCCCAACTGATAAATCACTTTTTCAACGAAACCGAGTGGACTATAGGTAGTCGACGATGCTGATTCCGAATATCACCATGAATGCTGCTGCTAGGCCTTCAAAGATCGGTCTTCT